AGATCCTTTCAGATCTGGAGTCCCTAAGAGTGGTTAAGGCATAAAGGTGCAAGCTTTATGCCATTAGAAATCCCCATGCAAGTCTAAAGAGATTATTATGGCCTCTTGGAGCCCTAAAGGCCATGCAAGGAAGTAAAGTCCAGGACTTTACGTGGTTATTGGATGTCTAGAGTCTAGATCTTGATTTCCCTGTATTGGGTTGGTGTAATAAGGGTTTTTAGACCATGGAGTTATGTCTTAATGAGCTAGGGTTTTGTCTAAACCCATTAAGAAGGACTTAGGATGGGTAAAGCTGGAAACTTTACCCTTAATAAGTCATTTCCAGAGTGTTTATGAAGTTTGGAGTTCAGATCTGGAGTATAGGGGCTTAATCCTTTAATATTGTCCAACATACCGAGGAACTCGGCGAGTCCAGGGAGGGACTCGATGAGTTTCAGTGAGTTGTCCCGTTTTCCGGTTATGGGTGAACTCGGCGAGTAAGGGGAATGACTTGGTGAGTTGACTCGGTTTGTCACGAGTCTGGTTAGTCAGGGAACTCGGCGAGTTGATGGAGCAACTCGGCGAGTCAAGTCAACCTGGAAGTGTTGACTTTGACCATGGACCGTTGACTTTGACTTTGACCAGAGTTGACTTAGTTTGACTTTTGGAGGGCATTTTGGGACTAAGTGTTATGTTGGTATTGGTAGCTCGGGGAGCTAGGGGAGCAGCAGTTCGGGGAATTATCGGATAGCAGCCAGAGGTTTCAGCCAGTCTTCAGTTGTACGAGGTGAGTCTCCTCACTGTGTGAATGGGTCTAAGGCCACAATGCCGGCCCATGTAGTTTATGAGTAGGAAGACCCAGGGGTTAGTCCTAGGCACTGTATGCTAGTATGTGATTCCGGACCAAGGTCCGATGCCGGTCGGGTGCCCGAGGAATGTTTGTATGATAGTTTATACTTGTTGTCTGTGTGAAACACGTATGTGCCTGGTAGGGAGGTGAGTGTGGGCGAGGTCCCATATCTCACCACTAGCAGAGTATGGACGGGGTTCCTTATCTCATTGGTAGCAGAGCAAGGGCGAGGCGCGATGTAGGAAAGAGGTGAGTGTGGGCGGGGACCCGTATCTCACTATCAGCAGGAGTGTGGACGTGGTTTCATGACTCATCATTAGCAGGACAGGGGCGGGGCCTAAGATAGGCGAGGCTTTGGAACATGAATTCAGTAGAGTATGTTTAGCTTATGTGTTATGTGCTATGTTATATGTTATATGATTGTCTGTGTTAGCGGGCGGGGCCTAAGAGAGACAGATCTGTATACCGAGCGGGGCTCGATGCCAAGCGGGGCCTGATGCCGGGTGGGGCCCGATGCCGGAGCTAGTCCGATGTCGGGCAAGTCCCGATGCAGTGGGCTGGGGCCCAATATGTGGTTATGTATGTGGTATGTGGTAGGTTGGGGAACTCACTAAGCTTCGTGCTTACGGGTTTCAGTTTTGGTTTCAGGTACTTTCGGTAGCGGAGGGAAGAGCTCGGGGTGATCGCAAGGCAAACACCATTGTTTGTTTAGTCTGGGATGTTTTACTCTGATATAAAAAGAATATGTTTTGCGATTATGCTCTGATTTGATATATTAGTTTTGTTTATGAATGAAATGGTTGATAATTATGGCTTTACTAATGATTTAAAATGAAATTTTCGGACCGTATTTTTGGGATGTTACAGTGTGTTTGGTAGTGATCATACTCAAAGACAAGGGGTGGATTCAATGAATGGATGAATGTCAGTCCTGGATTATGGGTTCTGAAATTTAGATCTAGTGGATTTCCGGTCTCGGGAAGCATACTAATAGAGTTGATTCGGTGTTTGTAGCTTTGAGAGTCCCCGACTTTGTGGATCTCTCCAGTCAATTCGGTCTTAGCCATGAAGTTTTGGAATATGCTACCGTTGTTTGTGCCTCTCTGCAGTGGTGAACTAACTAAGGCTCGTGTTTAGAGCCGCCTTGTTTTCGGATGAAGGGTTCAACAACAGAGAGCGGTCAGGAGTCCTGATTACCTAGTGGAATCAGCAAGGTAAGTCAGGGTCGGAAGGGTTTTGTATTGTCTGGATTGTAAAGATATCATAATAACTGCGTTTCGAGATAGTTTTGCTTGCTTAAGAGTGAGTTGAGGTATTGGATTTTCGGATTGTGGGAAGATTGTGACGGTTTCTCCAGTGATGAAGTTAGCAGGTCAAGGATGGTATGAGTAATCAGCTGCCTGAATGAGCCGACTTTTAGTTCAGATAGGGTTCTGGGGAGGACCGTCTGAGTGATCCGAGGTGGAGATATGGAAACACTACCCTGGGTTAGTTACTGCAGCAAACTTCGAGGACGAATTCTAAGTTAAGTGGGGGATAATTGTAACACCTCGATGATGAGGTACTTCTAATTTAACCCTATAATTTAATTATATTGAATGTTGGACCCTAAGTATAATAAAGAGTGCAAAGAGGGCCCTAGTGCCATTTTCGTAAATTGGGTTTTGGGGGAGTACGCCATGCTTACATGTGTAAGCTGAGCGTACTAGGGTGCGCCCTAGTACGCTGGGCGTAAATCTGTATGCAGGGCGTATGTGTCAGGCATGAAAATCCTACTTTTAGGGTTTGGCTCATATTTAAACCCCATTATAGCCTCATTTCCCCTCACTTCATGAACCTCCATCCTCTTAAAACGTTTTTGCAACTCTAATCTTCCTTGTGAGCAATTTTGAGCTTGTATGTATGTGTTTGGTGCCTTTGAAGAAGGAGGAAGGAAGTAGAGACAATCTTGGAGGAGTGAAGCACCCTAGATCCAGAAACACGCCATCTTTTGGCATCTCATGGAGGTATAAAGTTTTGAACTTGGTGAAGTTATACTTAGATCTCATTTTGGGATTGATTTAATGTTCTTTTGGTCCCCTAAGCTTGGTTTGTTGAGTAGGGGTTACTCTAAGCCATTTGAGTTGTCCTTTCAGAGGTTTTGGAGCCTCTTGAGTTATAAAAATGTAGTCTTGGACACTAGTTTCTTCTCATGCATGGTCTTAATGGATTAAGAGGTTAGGATCTTTGGTGTTGAGCACTTACTACACATGCAAGGTCATAAAGTTGGAAACTTTATGGCTCTTGGTGATATTTTGGTCATGGATCTGCAATTGGAAACATTAAGTCAAAGTACTAAGCACTTAATACGAAAAGAGGAAGTCATGTGTGTACGTCGTACGTACCTATGTGTACGCCGAACGTACTCACTCAGCCACCCCATTTTCAGTCAACGCGAGTACGCCCCGCGTATCCTCCAGAGTACGCCCCACGTATGCTCACTGCGTCGACTCGGTTGGGTTGACTCAGTTGATTTGCTGATTTTGACAAATGTTGACATATGGGGTATTTTGGGCTATGTTGAGAATTTGGTCTTGTGGGTGGATAGGTAGCGGTTAGAGCCGAGATTCGGAGTCGGGACCTCATCTGAGTTTTCCTCAATGTACTTATGGGTCTAAGGCACCAAGGCCGACCCATTGGATTAGATATCTTGTTATGTGATAGTATGTTATCGTGTTGTAGTGATCTGTTAGATCTGTATCCTGGTATATAGGATAATGCTATGCTTGATGATTTGTAGATCTGCCTTATTGTCTGTTGACTAATTATATGTTTATCTGTTATATGTGCACATATTTTGGTTGGTGGTTAAGGCTTTATTACTATGTACGTAGGCCAATAGACCGGGGGCATTCCAACCTGATGGTTAATTGGTCCCGAGGGTATTCCATCACGAGGATGACTGGAGTCGTTGTATATTGGCATTCCAACCTGGGGTATTCCAACCCGATGGTTGACTGGACCCATTGTATATTGGCATTCCACCTAGGATATTTCATCCTGAGGATGACTGGATCCGAAGGGTGACTGGGCCTAGGGTATTCCAACCCGATGGTTGATTGGACCCGATATGGTGTTGTATATGTTATATGTTTGTGTGATGGTACTTTGGGGGAAACTCACTAAGCTTCGTGCTTACAATTTTTAGTTTATGGTTTCAGGTACTTCAAAGGATCGTGGTTAGGCGAGGGCGTGACCGTACACATCATTGGTGTTACGATTGTTTGGATCTTGAGAGAGACTCTGATTTTAAATAATGTTTTGGAAACAATGTTTTGTAAACACTTCTATTAGTAAATGAGTTATTTTTGAAAAGTTCAATTTGTTGAAATTTTTGGGATTGTTACAAATAGGGTTTTTGAAGGTTCTATACTTCAATTTGGATATATATATATAATATATATATATATATATATATATATATATATATATATATATATATATATATATATATATATATCTTACATGCATGCATCCTTTTCTTCTTTGTAAAATCATTGATGTATAAGAAATCAACACTAGCGATCAAGACGTTAATAACTCACCCGAACCTAAAATTATATTCCATATGTCACATGTTACTTATCACATAAGTTATTTTAAGTTTCAAAATTAATAACTGGATCAGTTCAAATATATAAAGAATAAAATTTGAAAACTAAATTGTACGAAATGAGCTTGTATCCGGCGATATGCATTATAAAGAAGACCGGGTATCATAGACGACGACATATCAACAAGCGAGCTCAAAAAGTTTGACAAATACTACTCCATCAACCTACCCTCTCTCTCATCATCTATGAAACCAATGTAAGGAGAAGAAGAAATTTTGCCATACATTTAAAGATTGAACTAAGCCTAATATCATGATGTATATATATGTGATATAAAATAAAAAACCGATAAATTTTATATCTTTTAACCTGTTAACTAAAAGTTGATATAATTCCATTTCGTCAAAAGAAGCAAAAGGGTTATTTTGTGTTGCGACAACATAATTCCCACCTGTCACGGGTGCCACTGGGCCCCTTCATATTGTCTTTGTAGGCCTGTCGCCCAACATAAGACGTGGACAGATTGACCCTAAATATAACTCAGACACACTTAACACCACAGTTTCACACACACATCACACCTACTTATATCAATCCCTGTTGTTCAGCACTCAGCTTAAACTAACTTTGTTTTTTGGAAAGAATGATGCAGTATCTACCAACTCATGGTTACGAGCTCAGTAACTGTTCCAGTATTATAAGAAACTTGGTATATGATCACGGCGGTGGAGAACTATCAGCAGTCACGGAGGCACAGTCAGCGGAGGAGAAGGCGACAGCAGCTTGCAATAGGCACAGCGAAGCTGAACGGAGACGACGAAAGCGAATCAACGGCCACCTTGCCACCCTCCGCAGCCTCCTCCCCAGCAACGTCAAAGTACTATCCACGTTCCAAAGCTTTACACATTACAAAAACAAGAAAAAACTAGTCGGTTTGATATATATCAAAAGCCTTTTACGATTGTAACATTTTCTTTCTTAACAGACCGACAAAGCTTCGTTGTTGGCGGAGGTAGTCCGGCGAGTGAAGGAGTTAAAGAAGATGGCGGCGGAACTGGAGCCCAAGGGAACGGATCAAAGTGATGATACGACACGAAATATGATTCCAAGTGAGAATGATGAACTCCAGTTAACTTACATTGGAGAGGATTCTAGTACGAAGAAGATGATGATAAAGGCGCTGATGTGCTGCGAGGATAGGGGTGAACTGATAGTCGAGTTAACGAGAGCTTTGGGGTTAGTACGTGGGAAAGTGATGCGCATGGAGATAGTGACGTTGGGTGGGAGAATCAAATGTGTGTTATGGGTTCAAGTTTTTGGAGCAACTAGAGAACAAGGGTTACATGAGCTACGAAGGGCTTTGAAGGTGGTTATGGATCGTGGAGCATTCTTGGATATGCCTCGAAATAAAAGACCACGTATTTCGGGTTGTATCTGATTTGATTGTAGAGGTATTGACAATGTGGTAGGGGTAGGATGTTTCTTGTATTTGTGGCACTTTTGAGGGATTTATTTGTGTATTAGTAGGATTCTTTGTGTTTGTTAGTGATCACCGTTACCCAACTAGATGGTTGAAGTTTGTTTAGAATAATTTAGAAGTTTCAAGGTTTTTAAGCGTTAATTAGTACTATCGGCACAAACTTGTCACCTAAGGTTAAGTCAAGTACGAGTGAGCTTTCCAAGTGTTTAATGAATTTAGTATATTGTTATCAACTACTTGGTTTGATGGTCTTGAGTGCGTATCTCACATGTTCACGCTTTGTCTGTACTCTATAGCAAACAAAAAGAACAAATAATCCACTATTTGCCAGTAAACTTTTTCAGTGCTTTGAAGTGTAAATTTAAAATTTTAGTCCCTACATAGCCATTCAAAGTGTCACATACATGTCTCACTCTATTTTGAGTGTACGGTTTGTGAGTATAGAAAAAAATATTACATCATTTTGTTTATTAGTTTTATCCAAACCTTAAATATCTCATTCTGAAACCAATTGAAACCAATTGAGTTGTTAGTTAGAGGTGTAACTCCAAATGACCTTTGACCTAACGATATCAAAGTGTTTGAAAATGTGTTTATCCTTTAACGGTTGAGGGTTAAAGCTAGTCTCATCGTGGACAAAAGAGTAGGTAGGAGTAGGATTTAAGGGGGGGGGGGGGGGGGGGGTGTGTTTTAGTCGTTCTAAAAAAAGTTGAAGGTAAAATCGAGCCCAACATGTATAAAATTGCAATAAAAACAATTAAGTTCGTGAACTCGACTTGAGGGATGTGCATGGCCACCTGCCATGCACATAGGAACGCATCTAGCTTGCACTAGTTCATCTGTAGGGGCGCACTTTCCATGCATGAAGCGCATTCTCATGCATGGAGCACCTTTAACAAAACAACATCACCTTTACAAGACCCTAGCACATTCTGATCAAGGTGGGGCGCATCATGATGGTCAGGAGCGCATCTGGAATAGGAGGGTGCATCCTAATGAGCCAGTGTAACGACCCAAAATTTTCTTCCGTCATCAAGCTTTGTCGCGCCTCACTTTGTGTACTAGGATGACCTAGTCATGTTAGTAGTGAACGGGGTTATTCCTTTTGGGTTAGTAACAAAGAAGATCGCCCATATTAATGAAGATATCGATGATAACAAAGATAATGATGATAACAAAGATAACGACGATAATGTTGGACTTCTCCTTTTTCAATACACTTTTCTTTTGAAAGACCTTCTTTTGTGCATTTCGATGTGACACACTTTTTTCAAAATGTTTGATCGTGAAATAGCCTCCTTAGAAACAATTTTTGGTTGTGGAACAACTTTCTTTGGTTTAACACTTTTTGAATAAAATGAATTTGGTCCAAATTGTGATTTTGATTTTTGAAATCCTTGTGAATGATAATTCTAATTAGAAAATCTTAATGAATTTTTAGACTTAGGATTTTGACCCTTTGAGCTTGAATGAGAATTTGAAACACATTTCGAATTAGCAATCTAATGATTATTATTATATTTGAATCTTTCCTTTTGTTTCCAAAACTTCTTTCTCCAGGCCAAAATCTTTTTGTCCTAACGATATTGGTCAAATCTTCAGTTTCAGTTTTGTCCATTCATTTTGTAACAAAAACTTGATTAAGGGTATATTGGACTTTTGGAAAGAACAATTGTCTTCTTAACCAAGTTATTAACACCATCATGTTTGACAATTGATTCCAATTGAGGAGAATCTTCAAGAATTAAAGTTCTATTTGGTTCATCATTAGTTCTGACAAAATTAGAAAATTCAATTTCATCTTCCAAAGAAATTTCACACAATTCACTTTCATCAAATTCCGATTCAACATCAATAATGTGAGACTCGTCTGAATTCAATTTATTACACAACAAAACATGTTTATCATTACAATTCTGTTGTATTTCTTTCTTATCCTATTCAGTTAAGGTTTACTTCATCATTTTCTTAATCTCTCTTGTTTTCAAAAACTCTTCAACGTTCTCTAAACCAACCCTATAAGCATCACTTAACGATTCATTTGATGAAACTAATGATCCACATTCATAACATTCAACATCAATTTCATCTTCTTGCAATTCTAGGAATGACAACATCTTCTTCTGCATTTCCTGAGAGATTTCGCAGTTAAGATAAAGTTGATTTATCTGTCGATAAATTATTTATGCAATCTGACAGAAAACATTAGGTTGTTTTATCACAAGTCTATTGTCAGTCTTAAGAATACAAATATCATCTCTTACTCTTCCTAATTCACTCTTTAGTTTCTCTATTTTTAAATGTCTTTCCTCACTCCTAAAATTGCTTCTGTTAAGATCACCATTGAGATTAGAAACATTCATACGATTCCACCTAGTTCTGAAATGTTATCTCTTAAATCATTAAATTCATCATCATAACAATAAACAAAAATATCTACAGATTTAAAAATGGAATGTATTTTTTCAATTACTTTCTCACATGCTTCCATATGTTCTCATGTACTTTTCGCGGAGAAACAAGATTCATAGGAATTTCCATCTGAAGCTCCACCAACATCTGAGTTGTAATCATCATCCTCAGATCCAGAACTTGCACTTTTGACCATAAAACACTTTCTACCTTTCTTACTTGCACACATCTTAGCAACAAAACAAGCACCATGTGTAGGTCTACGAACCTCTTCTTCTTCTGAATTAGTAGACCACACTTCGATGTTGTTGCTATCACTATCATCCTTTTCCACAATCAAACCCTTTCCATGTATGTTCACCTTGCAAAGATCTTCAATCTTTAGAACATAATAAGCGTCGTCTTTTATATTCTCCTTCTTTTCACTCTTCTTTTGTAGAACACAATATTTTGCAAAATGATTCTTTCTATTGCAGTAGTTACAATCATAGCCAAAATCTCCAAGTAATTTCTTCTCCTTTTTCTCTTCATCTTGTTGATAATTTTGATTCTTTCACATTTGTTCTTATCAGCATAAAATTTTACTCCTTTGTTGCAAATACTTCCACCATCAGTCCTTACATTACCACTACCTCTAAACTTTGAAAAAAAATCATAAAGAATTTCTTTGGATTACTGATCATGAGAGCTTTCTCTTCACCGATAAACTCATCATCTGTCACATTTGAGTCAAAATCATCAACAACTACCTTTTTCTTTGACTTATTTCCTTTCACAATCTCTTCCTTATCAACAAGAGCTAAAGGAAATGCATCTACATTTGACTTACCTCCTTCTCTGACTTCATCTTCGTGAGACTTCAAAATTCCAACAACCTGAGAAAGCTTGTAAGACTTAAAATGTATATATGCTTTAACAGTTGATATAATTAACTTTCACGTAGAAGGAAGACCCTGAAGGAATGTTACTTTCTTCTCGATTAAAGAACACTCCAAGTCATACTTCATCATTCTACTCAACAGGTGATTGTATCTCTTGAAAACCTCATCAATTATTTATACACTCTTCTATTTAAATGACCCAAATTTTGAAAGTAAAGTAGTTTGAACGAACTGAATATGATTTTCATCTCCTGAATAAAGTTCCTTCAACATCTTCCAGATATTATTTGAAGTTTTGCAAGAGCTCACAAGTATGAAAGTGTTAGGTGCAAAAGCAAAACATATTTCTCTTTTGGCCTTCAAGTCATTCTCCAATTGTTCTTTCTCATCGGCAGTGAGATCACCATACTTTTCTCTAAGTTGTTCATAATCAGCCAAAGAGTAAACAAACTCCTTCATTTTTGTACATTTTATGGACCAACAGTAATGGACTTCCAAATATATAAACCATGTTTTTCAATTCCTGTGATGTTGTCGTCGAAATGAAGTACCCAAACCTCATAATCTTCTGGAAACAAGACCGATTCTGCTAGGCAAGTTGAAAGATACAAAATGTTAATCTTCTTTAGACATGATTTCCAATTGAACAATGAACAAAGAATCAAATCGATGAGTTTAAAACAAAGATTGAATCAAAATGAGTTTCAGAATGCATATTTTCATATCAAAATGCAATTAAACTGCAAGTGCGGAATAGATATCTGAAAAATGAACACAAAGAACAAAAACCCAATGAACTTCAAAAGATAATCAGTAATTCATAATAGACTCAAGGATTTCCTTTCTCTGATACCACTTGTAGGATCAAATAGATTGTAGAATATAGAAATCATGTTTGTAATCGAGAAATTGAATGAACACAAACAAGTAAATATGATATGCTTTTTGATTAGAGAATATGAAGCTCAATTACAGATTATAGTAAGAACCTCTCAAAATATACGCTCTCTATCTAACTAACATCCCTTATATATGTACGACATCCCCATTTTTACGGCCCAAAAAAAACTTTTTCTTTATGCTTATTTAATTCAGAGTATTATTTTATTGCGAAATTTGTCCCTAAAATGTGAGATAATAAAGTATTTCTGAAGAAATGATTTTTATTAATTTATAAAAACTTGGGATGTCATAACTTATACAAAAAAAAGCATAAACTTGTCATAACATGCCTTACACCATCTTATTATACTAATGGCCTACATCTCCTCAAATCCATCATCAGATCCAAACATCACTATCCAAGTACCTTCGTACCGCTACCCGTGATACAAAGAAACTGAGTGGTTCAAGCTTGAGATACTTGTGAGAACATAGAGTTTTCAACCCATAATAATTAAATCTTTTAATTATACTTCTCATCAAATAATTAACCCGATTATCCATTCCCGTTATTCTTACTTTCTGGTCCTAAATACTAATCTCAAGGGACCTATCCTAAGGATCATCATAAGAAACAAGTAGAAAATACTACTTCGGGGATTTCATAACAATATACCAATAAGGCAACTATTGGGGTGGGGGGGGGGGGGTAAAGTACATCGTATGAACACGTAGTTCACTAACACTTACAAGTTGGGAGACTGCTAGTGTTCCACTAGACTGCCTAGAATAGTCTGTGGTCGTCATCTATACTCTGTTAGATGACTACATCGTTAGTACAATAGTAATATTAAAATTCATGGTCTCTTATCATCATTTTCATCTCTCATCACCCTTTACTACCCAATATATTATAAGTATGAAAATACATATACGATAAAATCAAGTAAAATCATGACATATAGTTTCATCTAACACAGATACATTAAAGGTATATAATAAGCATATATAACATTTAATTATCTGAATACTTCATATCTATGTGTAAGATGAAAATAACTATGCACTCACTTGTTA